AACATCACCATGTCTACCCATACTCTTTAAAACTCTTTTCTTATTAACAATCAAGAAGCAGGTTTATGCGCCATGAGAGAGTCGTTACAAGGAAATGTTTTCCTTTAACAAAGTTCCTTTTCCCTTAACATCATCAATATCCACTTCTGCTTCTACCGTTTTTAAATGAAGGGGTAAAAGAGTTTTTAATAATATCCAAGTTTGTTACCACAAGTGGTGAGGAGTTCAACCAGCATCCTCATTAGTTACATCTGATGAAAGTCTTCAAATCAAGGTGTGGCTTGATGATGAAACATCCCACCGATCAACATCAGTGAAACCTTATGTCAGAGATGTTAAATGTTCAGCAAACGTTTCTTTCTCATGTTTTGTACATATAGAAACACGTTTAAATTTAAAAGCTTTTGACAGATCAGTGTTTGGGTGATGTTTTGGTATGGTATCTGATACATTTCAGAAGGACTATTATTGACATCAGCCGTAGCTCCACCTCATGACCTATGTCCTGAATGACCTAACCAGAATCGTTTCCTCTGGGCTTAATTTATGACTTCAGCAGAGGGGATGTGGCTAGGAGTGCAGCCTCATCACAAAGTTTTCCTAGAACAGCACACACACTCTCAACATGCTCTCTGGATTTTCAGAAGGCATTAGCCTACCAGAGACAGTCTTTGAAGTTCTTACCCTACCTGAATCTTCTGAAATGTTTAACCCTTAGAGAGATTTTTCACTGCACACAAAACCAAAAGGGAATACATATTCTACAAGGTACAACAGGCCAGGCAAACATCTTAACCATCCTTTCCAAAAGGGTGAGATTTCTGTAAGTAAGTAAGTTTACATATGCCAACACACCAAACCACAGTCTGCCTCTGCCTGTAGCGTGCAGACACCAGGAAGCCATCAAAGGTTTTTTTACTGAATGACTCAAGTGCTTAGCTGACCCCATGCCAGCATGGAAATGCTGTTTGCCTCCTTTCGTTTTACAATTCAGCCTTAACGATTCAGCTCCACGTCAGGGATCAAAGCAAGCAAGACATACTTCCAAGTTTCAACCTGAAGAGTACAATTATGATACAATAATGTTTAACCATAGAAGATTGTGTTTTAATAATAGAGCTCTTCCGTCCATCACTGTTGCACCAATGTATCAATGCTATAGCTAGCTCTTCATTCAGATGTCAATGCTGTTCATGTTATGAATGAATAATGGAATGGTGCTCAATCAATGTGCACCATTAAAAAAGGAAAGTGAAAGACTTGTTGACAGTCTGAATGTCTTGACTTTCTTTAAGTGATTGTTGAGCAGCTTTAGGAGCACAATGACCGGCGTTTTCATTTAAACACATCTACGGATTGTTAAGCTCCTAACTGAGGTCAAGGAAAGAAATGATTTCTTAGTATCACAGAACATTTAGGTTTATAATTCTGCTATGGTCAGGGTACTATCAGAATTGTTTCACCCTGTCTTTTATGAATGTTTGCATCATCATCCACAAAATCTTTGAAAGTATATCGCTCACAGTATAGCTGCAGGGGGCGGCATTCAGAGTGCACATCTGAAGACAGCGGCAAAGGGTGCCGCAAATGTGCCGCACTAATTCCTCCTCCAATCCATTTCTTCCTTCCATATTACGAGAACAATCGCGGCAATTAAAACGAGCTGGTGGACTCCCAAGTGTAATATGGTTTCAACGTGCTCAAATAGCTGCCATTACTGATGTTATAAAAGGAGACTTAAAACTTCTAATTATCTTTAAAATAACAGGTTAAATGACTCAATGTTAGCTAGTTCAGGGGATGCTGTTGAGGTTGATAGGCGACAAGGGTGGCATTTAGAAACTAAAGAGTAAGGACGGGAAGAGCTGGTGGCACAATTGGGAAATACTCTCTAGACCAGGCAATCTCATTTTAGATCGTCGACAGTCTAAGCACACCACCAAGACTGGGTCCTTCAAATGATGCTACCTCTGAACTGAGACACAGCCTATGTCTTTACTGACACCACCATTCATGATTTTACTCTTCTCCTGGAAGACAGGCAATTCTTAAACAACTATAAATACAACGACTGTGACTGACCTTTTGGGCTCAAATGTCTCATTGGCATATGGCTGCCATCATTGCCAGGCTTCTTGAACCACTGAGAATCATTCATCCCCTGATGATGGGGACATTTCCAACTTGGAAGACATCAACCTTTCAAATCCACACAGCGACAAGCCCTCTGAAGGGATGACTGGGTTCACTTTATGCAGGTTAATGTTAGTAGTCAATTCATTTAGTACATATCACATAGTCCAAGTATACACTAGTTAATCGAACGGAGGCAACAATAGCTTCATTAGCTTCAAAACAGCTGTATAAAAGTTTAAATTGCAAACTTACTTAAATGAAACTCTAGTCTATGTTTACACTGAATTTTGCATCCATTTCATACAGTATCCAATAATATGCAAAATACTGCAGCACAAGACTGTATATTTTTTATCTAATTTACATGGTAGACGGGGGCAATAGGGTATAAATTATCATAAAAATTGTATAGGATTTGTATGACAATGGGATGTATAAAACTGTTGACCTACTTTTGTAAACAGGAGCCAATTTACTGTAACCTTTATCTCACAGCAGTGTGATGTATAGTGTATGAAATAATAGATGTGATAATACAATACTTTGAACTGCCCGTGTGTTACAAACTGCAATCTCATACATGGCAAATTATGTGTTAGACATCATTATCTCTCTGCTATCAGTTACTATTTCCTATACATGTTGTCAGAATGAAAAAAAAAACACATCCTCCTAAACCCCACAGGAAGCAATGTACCTGCCAGCACAGCACAGCTGCACCAGAATGTGATAAGGGAACCATGTGGCCATGAAACATTCTCATTACAGACTGTAGCATTCAGCCGAGCTTATTTACTTGTGACACCTTAGCAACTTTTTCTCCCCCGGTTTACGGGCAAGTTTAAAGGGGGGAAACTTTAAGAAACTTACAAGAAAAAAAACAAGTGTGGCAGGAATATTTGGCATCATTTTTCCACTTCTTTTTTTTTTTTTAATCATACTAAGGTTGTCTTACTATGATAGATGAAATAGATTACAGTTTCATTTTTCAACCTACAGATCTTGTGTCATTTAAAAAAATTAAAAGAAAACCTGTCATCTGTCAATTAAGACAGTGTTCATAATTTTGTCTGCATTTTTGGTAATAAAAAACAAAACCCATTTGGTGGTGCCTGTACGATTTTGACAAGTATTTAATCAAAGTTGAGAATTATGATATCATGACAACTCCACACAATGCCAGTCCTCAGTTGACCCCTAAGATTTGTCTCATGACCCCCTTTTGGGTCTCCCACCTCAGGATGGGAACTTAGCATATCCTGGTACAGTGCTGTCCTCACACACTCTTCACTACATAGGACACATATTAATAGGCCCAAATGAGTACAAACATGTAGCCTAGTTATATGGACCCTCTAAGTTACATAAAAAAGACTGAATTATGAGGAAAAAAAATGTTATGGATAAAGTAGGCAGCTACGTCACTTCCCAATAAAAGTTGCCAAACTCTGAGTCATGGAAGATACCGTTAAATGATGATGCAGTGTCGCCTGCTCGTCAAACGGGGGCGCAGTCCACTTCATTCATAAATGGCAATAGCTCAAAATATGAAACAGTATAGGATTATTGTATAGCTAAGCAGGCCTCTGTGTTGATTTAAAACAAGAAGACAAAAATGTCCTGCTTGCCAGTAAATGGAGCCAACTATGTGAACTAGTTATCCTGCCCCCGGGTGAGTTCATGGGGTTCTCCAGCTCCCCGCCAGCTGTTGCTCGTCTTTGAATCTTAAAAGTTCTCTTTCTAATTAGCCCACATATGATAAGCTTTCTGTTGTTCGTGCTCTGCTTTCAGACAAGTTTCTTCAGGCTTACCATGTTAGGAGGACGAAACTTTAAAAAAAAAAAAAGCACCGACCATCCAGCGGCGGTGACTCTTTTTCCCCCCTGACCAGCTCAGCCGATGTTATTTTCAGGAGTAGTTCAAACAAAGCTCTGCTGACCCTGCTGCCGTCGCTGCAACAGCCTGAGTTGACGGTGTATGAAGCTGTAGGATGTTTTTTTTTGTTCAGTGTGTGGGTATGTCCATTGATTTGAGTGCGCTTCTCTCTTCACAGAAACCACTCCTTGCCGCTTTGTCCAGCAGTGATGTCATAGGTGGGGGGGGCGTCTCGAGAGTCCCGACCCCTAGGTTAACCATTTGAGAGCACACACCTATAGCTACCTCGTTTTCTCACAATATGATTTAGGATAAACTTGAGTTTTGATTCACGCTGCCGTAACTCAGGGTGACTGGAATAATTTAAATGAATAAAGATCTATCGTGACATGCAGAGTCAGTAGCCTAGAATTTACCTCATATGGTCCTTGAACGCCTCATCGCAGCCCGTAGAATAGATGGGCTTTTATGCAGTGGACAGATTTAGCCTATAGCCCATAATATAGAACAAGCACATGTTCTGGCACTTATATAAGATCTTGTCTGGATGAATACAGATCTATATAATCTGGGAAGTAGCCTTTGCAATAAATACGATTTAAAACACAATACGTTTTTATTCTGTGTGAAGGCTAATTATTCATATTGATTTTTGTTCCCCTGGTATCTCTGATTTTATAAGTATACATTATTTAACTTTTAATTATAATGGGGATGTATGTGAAATCCCTGACCAATCGTTTGTCTGGAAACACATAAAGACATGACACAGCTCGGGAAATCTTGAATGCTGCAACTGGAAAATCAATTGTGGATGTTTTTTCTGCATTACAGAAATAAACATTTTACTGTTCAGACTAGATTGGGGGAAAGTGTGATAAAAAAAAAGAAACTTTTGTGATGAAATGTGTACGCTGGAAGAGTTGTTTGTCTTTCTCTGGAAAGATGTTTGGGTTCCCAAGTGAAAATAAAAAGCAGATACAGTGACGGACGCTGAGAAGTTGAAAGTCCTTTTGATTGGTCGGCTGAAGGAAACGTCATGCATACCACGTGATCAACCAGGAAGCGTCTCGAGTGTCAACAATAAATGGTGAGTGTGCGGTAGGTTGCTTAATAAATATTGCAATTGAATAGGAGTTTCTGTCCATTATTGACCTCGACGTTATAAGAGGGGGTTTGTTAAGAAGCCAGACTGTATAAAAATCTCGCGTTAAATTAAGAAAATCGGCAGTATCTTTTAAAACCCAGCTGAGCAGCTAACACTTCTGCTAACACAGCTCGACATGTCATCACTCCAAAGAGACAAATATCAAAGTGTTTCTGCGTTTCAAGTGGCCTCTCAAACAATCGTTGAATTATTCCTCTCCGTCTATATCTCTTGCAGTATTTTGTTGTTAATAAATACAGTAATCTTTCCATCTTGAAATGAAACCACAGTTAGGCTTTATACCCATTTAAAGTTGTAGATTTCACCAAGAATTTTCTCATTTGAATATCGTTTATATCGATTTTTTTTCTGCATATAACAACAACAACAACAACAATAATAATAATGTTGGCATTGTATGTGCTCTGTTTGTTTAAAAGGAGGATATGTCTTCTTCAGACTGGCAGCTGTCTTTGAAGCTGGTGGATCAGCCCAAATCCATCTTCCACTTCCCTGAGATGATGCCAGGGGACGTTTCACCTGGAGGATACAGAGTCGCTACTTTAAAACAACTCGTTGCAGCACAGCTCTCAGACTCAGTCCCGGACCCAGAACTAATAGGTCCGATTTTAAGGATGTTTTCTGTAAATGAATATGCCTTTGTCCGAAGAAAAAATCTCAGTTGTCATCTGTTTTGTGGATTAATTGATGTGTTCAAATCCTGTTTGTGTTACTGTGTTTGTCATGTTTTGCATCAGAGCTGGTACATTGCGGGAGAAAACTTAAGGATGAGTTAACGTTGGATGCCTGTGGGATTCAACCAGGATCCACCCTACACATCCTCAAAAAGACTTGGCCCGAGCAAGAGAGCAGTCCAGGTCTGTGTGTTCTTTTTTAGTCAATCCTTTAAGCTTAATTTTTTTACTGAAAGCAAAACTGAAAGTGTCAAGGTGAACATGTGTGCTTTTTCTTCTCTAGAGCCTGTGAACAGAGCAAATGCAGCAAGGGAGTTCAGGGTGTTTCATGCTGCTCTTCACTCTCTTAATTCTTCCTACAGAGACTCAGTGAGTAGAAGACACACACAGTGCCGTGCCCAGCATTGTCCCTCTCACTCCTGTCTCTTTTAAACTTCAGCAATAAACTTTCTTCTGTAGAGTTTGGAAGCCCATGCCTTTCAAGCTTTCCTCCACTGTGGAGTGCAGAAATGCACTGGGGCGTTTGCACTTTAAGAAAAAATACTTCCTTGACTTGCTGAGTATTTTTTGCTTTGGCGTCTGGATATTTGTATGAAGTCACTTTGGTGTAGTCATACCTATGTTCACAGATGTTTTATATTAGATTGGATCATTCCTGATGCTTTTCAGCGCTACGTGTGAACAAGACACGTACAGTCGTTCAAAGAGTATCCTTAATACGCTGGGAGCTTTCAATGCCCTAAATCAACCAGAGACAGTTGAATTTAGAAAAGCAGCATGTTGGCTTAAGTGCTAATTGTATGGTTCAGGTAGGAATGGCCACATTTTTCTGAGAAGTGGATTGTGGATTGAGACACAATGGATGGGGTCATTCGATAAACCATTTACAACAAATCAACAGAAATGTTTGAACCATTGTCAAAAGGGTACATTATCTTTATGTGTAATCTGATCCATCATGACACTATTAAATCCGCAGAGTGATACAGAAATTACACTTAAGTCAGATATCAGTGTCATCCATTGATGAACACCAGACATTTGTCCTGATTTCAAAGGTTCAAACATACATTGAGGTGATGGGGTGGCGATTCCAGCTGCACAATTAGAAGGTTGTCAGTCAAAACATGTATAATTAATCTGCTGAATACACATCAGTCTAATTGTAGCCCATTTAATTGCTTCACAAAATTAACAAAACTATCCCAAGTCCTATGAAAGTTCAGAGAGGCACCATTTACAGAATATCTGATTTTTTCCAATTCAAGATTAGACATAATATTACGGATGGGGTGAGTGTGGGTGGGTGGAGCAGCATTTTTCCAGTTCAGCAGTATCACCCGCTGTGCCAATAAGGAGGAGAATGCTAGAGCCTTGCGCTGAAGAGTGGTTACAGAAATGTTTACCGGGGTCACGCCAAAAATAGCTGTTAGGGGGCAAGGAGAAATTATTTTGTTAAATAATTTAGAGAATAAATCAAAGAATGAAACCAGAAGGGATCCAGTTTAGAACATCCCCAAAACATATGATAGAGGGTTGTAGTCTCTATTCTAAGTATCTTCCATAAGCAGTCATACTGCATACAGTATCTGTACTGTCCCTGTGATGACACTCATCCCAACATAATCTCAAAGCTGTAGTGCACACTATTAATGTACTGATTGTCAAATAATACAGATTTAATATCACAACTAAAATAAAATAAAATAAAAAGATCTGCCAACTTTTCTACAGCATCAAATGATCATGACTGTTAATTCTGCTGATGCCGCTTTATTTACAATGGCTTTCCCCCTCTCTTAGATTTATAAAATGCTGACAAATAAAGAGTCCTTGGACCAGATCATTGTGGCTACACCAGGGCTCAGGTCAGATCCTGTCGCCTTAGGTAAGTCATGCAGAGTTAAAATAATCACTCTTACACCATCGAATTGCAAATGCAAATAGTAACATTTCTCCCCTAACACGCTTAATTATCTGTTCAGGAGTGCTCCAAGACAAAGATCTCTTCGTGCAGTTCACAGACCCCAACATGTTGGACGTGTGAGTGTGACAAATGAAGTGAGCACAGTACAGACACACAAGCGAGAGGTGGTTTTAAGATGTTTCCGTCTGTTTCACAGGTTGATCAGTTCACACCCAGCCCTCGTCAATGCCATCATCCTGGTCCTTCACTCTGTCGCAGGCAGTATGCCGGCTCAGTCCAGTGCTGGCTCATCTCGAAACGTTTCTGCCAGTTCTTACAGTGATATGCCAGGTACGATGCAAAAGACTACTACTTGTGTATTCCCTTTAAAATAAAGTGTACAAAGGTATTTTGAACATATTTTTTTTAATTCTAAAGACAGTGTCACTATCTATAATAATGTACTGTAGTGTTCTTGTCCTGTTGTTTTCCTGTTATTGGTAACATCATGATTTTTTTTTATTGATCATTTGGATTTTGTTTTGGCTACAAAAAAAAACCATTTGTTTTTATCTGGCAGGAGGCTTCATGTTTGAGGGCATGTCTGACGATGAGGAAGATTTCCAGACTGTGAGTCTCTCTGCTTCATACTCAACCTTTGTATTCATGTAGAGAAACATGTCGTGATGGAAGGGGTATTTTTGTTCTGTTGTGATGTGTGTCTTGACACATGTGCTGTAATGCTTTCACAGGGGAGCCCAGCAGGTCCCTCCAGCAGAGCAGGAGCCTCAGCAGGAATGCGTCCAGTGTCTCTGGGCCACAGCGGAGCGACAGGCCCTCGACCAATCACACAGAGCGAGCTGGCAACTGCTTTGGCCCTCGCCAGCACACCTGACAGCAGCGCAGTCACTCCTACGACTTCAAGCCAGGTGAGATTCAATTAGATTTAGGAATGTTGTCATTTTTATAAATCACTAACAAACAAATGTAAGATTGAGTTAAGATTTAACACATTCATCCAAAACCTGGAAATGTATTCTTATTTTGTTGAACTGTTCTGTGATTTAGGCGGACCCCTCTAGTAGTGTAGCCCCTATGCCAGCAGGGACCCCAGTCAGTAATGATCTCTTCAGCCAGGCTCTACAGCAAGCTCTGCAAGCCTCCAACATGTCTGCTCTACAGGTGAGGATTCAAACTCACTAACTCCATACTCAGTTCATGTATGTACCTTGATCAAATAAAAATTGGAATATATATACTTAGTGGTAAAGGATTTGTATTTGTGCATTATCCACTGTTATTGACTGTGTTTTTGTTTTGCCAGGGCCGCTGGCAGTCCCAGATGCAGCAGCTGAGGGACATGGGGATTCAGGATGAGGAGTTGATGCTGAGGGCGCTGCAGGCCACAGACGGTGACATCCAGGCTGCCCTGGAGCTCATATTTGCTGGAGGCCCAGGACTCTGAGCTCATACCTCCATGGACAAAGGCTTTGATGGGGGAGAAATAGAACGTAGCTTACCAGCCTTTGCTTTGGATATACAGTATACTGGTTCATTTTATTTGTACCCCATTTACCCATGTTCATACAACCCCATTTCAGCAGAGCTCCTGAATGTCCATGCCAGTGTCTGCCTGTCAGTAAATACAATTTTTAATAAATTTATCTCATCAATTATTGAGCCTGTTTCCTATTCCTTAATGGTGTACTTAATTGAAAGCCCCTATTTAAGTCCCCCAATGCAAGCTGAGAATTATTTTCTTTTAATGTCCGCTTGCTTCCTCGGGACAAATGATAAAATAAACATTTGGTGTGTCTAGATTAGTCTAACCACAGTGTGTCCTCTCTGCCTTTGTAATTATTCTATTTGAACACTAGATGGCAGTGGAGTAGTTTATTTCCACTCAGACAAAGCAGAGCAATCTTTGCAGACATCCTGCTTGTGTATTTGCCCGTTTCTTCCTCACCCATATTTGAAATTGTGCTCTTGCTCTGCCCTCTGTTGAACAGTGCTTGAAGACTGGCTGTTTTATTTTAGTTGTGAGATTACGTTCATCAAAGGCAATATGTTTGACCGCAGGTAATATAAAAAAGGAAGGTTGCACAGATAAGGTGAATGCTTATAACCATCCAGTGAGATGCAGCTGTGCTTGTCAGAGCATTGTTACCATTAGCTGAGCTTATTACAGAGGGCCACATTTGCTTCATCTTGTTGTCTCCCATTAGGACATTTTAGGGAGGACTTATTGTGTGCCCCCCTCTGCTACTTACCGTTCTCCATCTCCAGTAATTGCCCTGCTTAGTTTTATTACTGCATCTGCGAATGTGACAGCTCAATCAGTGGATTGGCCTTTCACGAGCACAGCACCCAAACAGGGTTTTGTGTCCGTCTGTCCCCATTACTGTTTTATATGCATGCACACCTGTGGGAAATTTCCACCTCACACTGCCTGCAAGGGTATTTTTAAAATAAAGCTTTTCCACTTTGCCGAATGAAATACTGTTAAAGCTTCGACCAAACAATAGACATTAAACGTGTTATTGTCTGTCCAGGAAATCAAAAAGGAGACTGTTGTGGGATTTTCTACCAAACAGGAGGGGTTCTGCTATTAGCTGTGAAGTCAGATGTCGAAACATCTGGGCTTTTGTTCTCCTACCACCATCACAAGCGTCATAACTGCAGCTTTCTGGATAATCTCAACAATTTACTGATCGAAATCATGTGAAGTTGTCATGGCAACACTTGATGGGGTGTGAAATGCTGTCATGCATATGGTACAGAAAAGCTGTTATTACACACCATATTAAGGTCTCCTGTTGTGTGAGAGAAGTATTGATTATTGAGTAATCTCTTAGGACTTTGAAGCCTCTAGATCCACTGTTATGTGGAATGAGAAATGAATATTACAACATTGGAAAAGTTATATATTGTGTGGGTTGTATCGATCATAATGAGAAAAGAGTAGTTCAGATTTTGACAGGATAGTATATAAGTACATCATCTTTTGTTTCTAAATATTTAGTTATTTTGGTTAATCCTGTCGTTTTTTATGCTGTTTAAAGCTTCTGGTGTGAGTCAGTTTTGGCAAACCCAATGGACAAAGTACTTGCATAAAGAATGTTTACGGACTGTTTCAAAAACAGTCGTAACTGTTACTCATTTTGTCTGACACCTACCCAGCAGTTACAAGCATACAAAAATACTAAATCTTTCAATCTTGTCACTGATAGTCTTGTTGGCTTTTGTAGGTAGTATAGAGGCATCAGTATTTATATCAGTCGGTTTCATAACCAGTTAAAGTCAGAGCATTGTTACCAGTTGAGTAGAACTTTAGATTTGTTAAACAATGACTCAGGCAGTCGTTATAGTAGATGCTGTATGCATGTCTGTAGTTTGAAACCCAGCTGCCAATAAAACAAATAAATGCATCAATGAGAATAAAGTTACCAATCAGAAGACAAAATCCTTGTGTGTTCATGGGTGTGTTGACTCTTTGGTCTTCTCTTCATTAATGTAAGACCTATGAAAAACATCCAAAGAGAACATTTATTTCAGTAATATTATAGGTTAAAAAAAAACTCATATATTGTAGGGAAATGTTGCACATGAGAAAAGGGAGGGAATCTTTTGTTTCCTGCATTTTATTCCCAATGCACCTGCAGTCACATGTGAACCATCAATTTTGAAGATCTCAGCGGGAGCAGAAATAATGGACAACACAGGCAAACAGTGGTGTAAGGTCATATCTGTTGAAACATACAAACAGGAAATGGCTTAAACAACTTGGAAAGATTCTCTCCTAATGAATCAAGCTTGGAGCTTTGAAGCTGTCACAAATCTGCCCAATTACTCCCACAGTGACCCCGGATTCAGGTAATGAGAAAGGTTTTGCACCTTGTCATTATATGCAATATGTTAAACCAATAGAAATCATCACAGCCAGACCTTTTGAAACAGTGTAAAAGCTCCTCTAATCAAGCCTTCACAGACAGGTTGAACAATACTAACACTATTCTCTGCAGATGAATTCTTCCGACGTGCCAGAGGAGGAGGAAGGCTACGGGATGGGTATAATGCCCTCCATCCGCTTTTGTTTTTCTGAAAGGAGGCAACCCACGTGTTATTAACATAAGGTCTGCTACCTGAGATTGCTTTCTGCCTGCCGTGACTGAGTAGAATATGAAATGAGCTCCTGATGGACATGAGGCCATTTCATTCCCCTTGTGGCTCATTCATTGCTTTCAAGCCATGCTTTTTATTCTTCCCTTCTTCTTCTTTCTCCAGTGCTCTTTTGGTCCACAAAAGCGTCTTTGATGCATTTCATCCCAGGTGCTTTAACCCTTGATGGAGCTTTTCTTGTGGAGAACAGAGCTGCTGCAGCAGAGAGAGAGAGAGAGAGAGAGAGAGATGCAGAGAGCTTGCACAAATGGAGTTAGAATGAATAGACATAGAGAAAGTCAGCTGGTTAATTTAAAGTGACTCGTAAATCCAAAGTTATCCAGTGTTTAACAATGAAAGTTCCTGTCTCTCTTCAGTTGTCCGATCCAATAAGGGCAGAAATTGCCCAAAAATGTAACTTTAAAAGAAACACAAACATATAAGTATTGTTTGACTCAGAGTCATCATAATATAAAAGGGCTCAGTGCACAAAGACAATTGTGGCTGCAGTTTTCCTGTCAGGGCCAAAAAATGACAAAATCATCAAAGTCTGGCTGTCACTTTGTAGAGAAACCAAACTTTAAGTGTGTGCATTTAATATTCCTCTGACTATCAAACAACTCAAGATGCTGTGAATGTTCCTCTCATCACACCTCTGTCCTTGCTCTCTCTCAGCACCTGACAGAAGTTTGTGGCCAACAAGAGCTTTTTAGAAACTTTTTGGAACAGTGACAGGAGTCTCAGCTGGTACACTTCCAGTTTATTTTTTTAGAATCATTACTTGCATAACCTAGACAGTCTTTTTTATCAGTGGAAGAAGATCCCAACATGCAAAATGTTCCCGTTTTATATACAGGCAAAAAAAACCCAACTAACTATGGATTTAAAATTAAGATTTAAAATTACCTTCAAATGAATTTGAACTCATGTTTTTTTCACCTTACAGGAAACTTCTCGCAAGATAAGAAGAACATGAATTTCAAGATCCATAAAATAGTGTTACCATTGTAAATAAGCTTCTGCATTTCTTCTTCCTCTTTGTTGGATGAGAACTGTCCCCTAAATCTGCTACCTGAGGCAAAGACTTGTTTTAAATGCCAAGAATGATGTATGACTCACACTTCACTTAATTTATAGGCCACTCAAAATAGCCTGCATGCATAAAATGCTGCAACAAATACTCTCTGAAAAAGACTAGAGATGTGATAACGGAAACAGAGAAGCTCATTGTACTGTTGAAAATATGATCCAGCAAGCTTCAGACACATGCACATACAGTAAAACAACATCAGCAGGATGAACAGGACTGTGCTACAAAGTGGATCAATAAAGGACAACAGCCCCGAGTGCTGGAGTACTGGCTTGATAATAGCGCCAGCATTCTGTCCTTGACTCAAACAATGGTCGCTCTTCACCGTCGATGGAAGGGCTTCACCATGGAAACAGGCGAGGGGGAAGACACAGTAAGTAGCTTTACTGAATAATTGTTTGCCTTGTTGTGGCGTGTAAGAACACAACAACAGCAGAAAAAGAAACTCTGAAACATGAAATCACACGTTAACTCATAAACCCAATTTTATTTCTTTTGAACCTTGATACTCTGTCCCCATACAATACATTCAGTATATACATTTGGCCATGAGGGACTGTACAGAGATATGTTATAGTAGTGCATACATACGTGGCATGAAAATGTACACAAAGGAAACTCATACACATGATACTCACAAGTCGATGGCTGATGGTTGCTCACACCAACACACACACACCCAGCCACACACTGTTTCAAGCATGCACAATTGTGTGTGCGCACACATACACACCCCTTAAGACACTTCTGAGGGAGGAGAAGGGGCTCATTCAGGTTCTCAGAATAGAAACATAAGAACAAGAAGAGTGTGTCTGCTGATTGCAGTGAATCTCCCCCCCCCCTCCCCCCGTCAGAACACCATCCCCTCCTCTGCCTCCCCTTCATTCTCATCTTCCCTTTCTCCAAAGCTAAGGCCTCTCTCTCTCTAGGCAGTGTGGCCATCATAAGCAGGCTCTTCCCTTTAGTAGAGTAATACTCATCAGCAGCAGTAACTAAGTAAGGAGCCTCTACTGTCAACATTTGATCACAGGGAAGAATTCTCATACATCACACATAGTTTATTTATTTAATTTGTATTTTTTCTTAGGATAACCTCTCTCTTGAGGAAACACATAGGTCCACTTCGACTAAATACTTTTCCTTAATAAAGCTGCAGAGGTTGCCTATTACATGGACAGACACCCTCACCTCACATACTCATCTAATGACAGCAGCATCTGTCTGCTCACTTACTGCACCAGCAAAACAGAAGTCTGCTTACATCCCATTTTTTTTCTGCTTCGTCTTCACAGGCTGTTCTGCTGATTACATCTAGCGGACATTTTTGCACCATCATGTTTATCATAAACATTTGGTGGAGGCACACTCTCCAATCATTTTCCCTTCAATGACTGTAGGTTAAAGTTGCATAGCACATAGCGGAGTAATGTGAAAGCAAAAAAGGAACCTCTCTTTGATTAAACAGATGTCATGCTCTTGAAGGTCCGTAGTGTCAGTTACTTTTAGTTTGGACCAAGCCCTCCATAAAATTAAAATCTTTCTGGGATTTTCTCAGTATACCACTGAATTCAGCATACTTTTTCCTTTGTAGAGACATTTTGATCATATGAGAATTACATACTCTCATTAGACTCACTTCATGGTGTGGACAGTATCAGTATCTGACATCATTGAGTGCGATACATTTTTCAAAAGGGGAAAACTACAGTAGTTTTAATAGTGAAGTCAATGAGGAAGTTTCTCAAACCTGCATTCTCTTTAATGGCCAGCAGGGGGAGACTGCACTTCTCGAATGGCCATTCCTCTTACTAGATTTTCCAAACCAATTTATAAATCTCATGTTTCTTCAATACAGCATGATGTTTTTTTAAGTTACTGTCTCATTTAAAGTACAGACTGAATATAAGAGGAATCCATAATTTGAGAGTGATAGGGCTGAATTCGTATTTGTTTTACAGGAGGGAAAAAAATGCTGGTTCAAGCCAAGGCTGTCACCAGCTTGTACCAGCAAGGTTCAAAAACAAATGGACAAAACAACAGAACAGAACTCAGGACTCTGTGCACACATTTGCATTTACATACACATGAAAACACTGTTCATTCTTACAACATTCTCACATGTTCGCACATCTGTTAGTAAAGGATAGATGATAGGGATTTGAATGCTAGGGTATGGTAGCTATCTGTTATTATTCAGGCTGCGGTGTTATTGGTCCAGTGGGAAAATGCGATCATCTCTCACCCAAGGTTTGACAAACCCTTTGGGCAGGAGACGCTGTGACCCGCGCCCCAGGCCACCTAGGCAAACGTGCACAAAGCAGTACTTGATGAACAAAAATGCAAAGCACCATAGTTTAACAGGTTGGAAAAGTCCCAAAAAACACGATCACATCTGCACGGAACAATGAGGGCAAGGAGTAACACATCAATTATAGTTACCCCAGAATAAATTACAGTCACAGAACAATCTTTAAAAGCAGAATTGGAAATCAGCTGATCTAGCGGACTGATTCGACCCATGCATTATAAGGCATTAACCAAACATTTGTTACTGACATCACACTGTTTCATATTAATGACTTTACATACAACTGCTGATCTGAAAAATCTGCTTGTTTTCATAATCAAAATCTTGTATTAATTGTATTCAGAAAACATATTCCTAAAACCTATGACGCAATTGTGAGGGAATTGGGAATGTAGAAGGGAAGACAGATCGATGTCTGCAATCCCATTGTACCTATTGATCTGCAGATGGGTGAATGAAATGGATTTTCTGAGGTAGACAATGCAGGCATATTTCATTCTCCCGATGCAAAGCCGTTCTAAGCGGGGCTAATTTGGTCCATTTGGACAGGCTCTGGTCTCCGGCCTTAGCCAATTGTACTGTGTCAGACGGGCTGACCCATCCATCATGCTCTCCTGCCTGTCTCACCAAGATGCTACTTACACTGTCATTGGTGTGATACACCCACTCAGTGATGGATAGCAGACAACATGCACTATGACAAGATAGAGATATCAGACTGTGCGGCTCACAGGCCTGTTATTCCACACAGCTGGGGACACACCATTCATACAGGGCCTCTTTATTCAATATCCTGCCCACTGGATGGGGCCCATGTGGACGATATCCCTCAACATGCCTCATAAATGTCGTTTCCCTTATATGACTCTTACCATCTTCAAGTCCCCTCGCTAACAATTACAGTATCAACAGAGCCTAACCAAATGAGTAAAACAAACTTGTTCAAACGCAATATTTATGACGCTCTCTCTTCTGAAAAAGGTACAACAATCTCATAATAAACAGCTCACCCATGTAACAAATGTAACAATGCTGTACCTTTCTTTTTCTTTGAGTGTTAAGTGCTAAGGGAAGTCAGCTCCAGAATCAATGAAATGATACTCATCAGATAATCAGTCTGTGATGTAAGAAAGTGGGTGTCTGTCATAAATTAAATAAAATAAAATAATAAAGACTTCTCCATTGAGTCTGTGTGTTTGAAGTAGGCCTTCAGCACAGGTCTGGAATCTGTCGGCCAGTGAGGTGAGTCAGGATCAGCAGTATTGGGACACAACTGTTCATTTTCCCATGAGCCTACATGGCTGTGTCCAGAGGGACAGGAAGTGTGGAGCCACAGGGTGGCCCAGTGAGAGCTGCAGGGGCTGACCGCTTGCAGGTGACCCAGAGCACTATAGTGTCCTGATGGCTACAGGGTAGAGCAGGGACATGTGTTCAGCTCCCTTGATGGGCAGCTTGCGGGTGGAGTAGAAATTAATAATCTCAGGCACACTGTCGAAAGGGCAGCTGTTCTGGCCAAGGATGTACTTGTTTTCCTTCGTCCGTGACAGCTTCATGTGCATAAAGCCCTGGCTGCTCCTGGGGACAGCAGAAGAAAAAAAAAGAGAGGGACAGAAAGCATGGTGTTAGTTAAAAAATGAATCAACAACAAAATAACCCTGGAAATCAAGAAGCGTTTTCCCCACAACCATTATGAAAAGTCAACAGAACACCTCAAATGACAAGGTGCCTTTTTGGAATTTTCATCTCAACTAATGGGTGCCATCTAAACTGTATGTATCCAGCATCATATCTACACAGCATAATAACAACATACATGTTTTTAATTACAGTGATAACGTGGATGTTTGGAAGGTACAATATTTACAATGTCATCCTTCTTAATTTTGCATGTTAGCTTGCTAATTTTGGTTTATAAACAACTAACAACTAAGTCAAGCTGGAGGTGGTTTGAATGTCATATATTTTGCAAGTGCTCATAAACCAAATAGTAAAAAAACCCAAAAAAAACATCTTTGACCTGATGGACACAGTCAAGGGGGGAGTCAACGGATTATGTAAATCCAAAGAACACATCCTCTAGGGAACATGAATTTATCTAAAAAAACAACAACTCATCATACAGATGTTTAGCTGGATTAGATACAACTTTGGCTAGCATTTGGTGCTACATAAAATGGGAGGGCATCATAAGAATTCATGCTGTATAAAATTTCACAGCAATCCACTGCATAATTGTCAAAATATTTCACACTAGACAGAAGTGTTGACTCAATCTACTGACACTACCGTACCTGAAGCTATGTCGCCATCATGGTAAGTTACTAACGTAAAGAGTATGCAAGGAGCCAGAACATACTGGATACTAAACAGATAACCCTTCCCAGACAGCTCCTCTGTCTTTACCCCTGCAGTAGATGCTCCCTACAGTATGCGACAAATCTTCTGAAAGCTGGATTACCTCTGCTAACTTTGGCTCTGTCTGGGGAGAAGACTAAAAGGCAGGTTGCTTAAGGTGCTGGATTTCACATGCAACGCATAAGTATGAGGCTAATGAACTCCTGGGATAAATCACTTAAGCACCAGCAATAAATGCACAGCAAATTAAAAGCTCCCTGTGTGATCTCGGGAGCCTTCGATCAATACATTTTACAGCTTGCCAGTAATCTGCTGCTTTAAAATACAAAATTCCTTTTTTGGGGTTTAAGTGATGCTGCTGAAAGCTTTCACATAAGAACTGATACAGAACTAATGGTCCATATATTCTGCTAGAAATATACTGTTATGATTATTTGTCTTTACCCGAATAAATTAACTTAATAGCTTTTTCAATCAGCGGCTAATGCTACAAGTTATGAATGTTGTAAGCTAAAGTACTTTGCACTTATTTGCTGCAAGTGGGAATTGTGGTCTGTCATCGACCTAATGTGCTGCAGTTTTTGCAGCTCACGAAACCTTATCCTTTCTGTTTGTTTCAAATAGTTGGTTGATTAGACCTCAGCACATGTGGAATCATTCAGACAGGTACAAACATGAGCACAAATAAATAATTTACAGTGAAGACAAGGTTGTCAGAGTGTTGATGGGGTCAACTTCTTTCATCACATACCGTACCATGCCCACTTTTCAGTGTATTTGTTCACAATCAATGTATTATTTATTAAATTCATGAATACTCAGGTAGAGGAATTAAGACAAAAATGAAGTGAATCCATACTCCTGAGATCAGAGACTCTAAATATATGCACATAATGGTGGATATGTCCATTATCTGTGATGAACAGGAGCAAGACCTTGGCTTAAGGCACCTTTAACTTAAAGCTAGTCCATTCTTTACTTATCTCGTAATTGCATGTGTAAATCCTGAGGATGTGTCCTCTCCCTGATGCACGCTGAGAAGCCGGCACAGAGATAACACTGAAGTGGAGGGGGAAAGCTAAGAATGTACAGGGTTCAATCTAGGGACATCCATCAGGACTAAGAATTCATTTAAACTGAGAAATGTTGATCCTTCCTGTGAGATTATGCCTTATTATAACACAGGAGACCATCCTTTCTAAAATAGCAGTGTAATTATTGTTAGAACAAAAATCTGATTCATGGATTATGAAGTATTAGAAAGCATGCAGAAAGATGATGGCAAATATTTTAAATGCTTTAACGATAAGATTATTTAAAGGCGAACATGGGGTGAAATAGCTGCAGGCTTGTTGAGCTATTACACTGAAGTAAACACAACTATCAGACTTTTCCATTACTGCACCTTGGGCCCTGGAATTTGAGCATGTCATTAACAGATTCATCATGATTTGAGGAGAGAGGGGCGGATTTCCCTCGCCACAGGTCTCTGCAATTCTACCAAATCTGCGAGTGGTGCCAGGAGAGCTCTTATTAAAAAATCCTCCCTGCAAAATGCATCTGATGAGTCCTCACGTGGAGCGCTGGGAGACAGTGCTAGGTTACACAGTGCCACACTTAAAAAGGCAAACACATCAATAGCATCATTTTTAGATTCCCTAATGATTCTCCAGTGTCTGCTCAGGGCTAACTCATCATGTTACACTCCTGTAGAAACAGGAAGCAAGACCAGCGAGCAGTGCCGCAGGGCTGCTGATAAAATGCATATGAGACTATTTTTGTGGGCTTTTGTTGTCTAATCAGGATGAATCTCAGCGGGGAGGTCTGCTGTCCTGTTTATTGAGGTTTATGACTTTGATTTGAACCCCGTAGACCTCAGAGCAGGAAAAGCATGACAGCAATCACAGCTTATCTCCACCTTCGACATATTGGATTGCTCCATGAATGATGCTCTCACTGTTATGAAAAGAAAAGTAATCCGCACCAAGATAATGATCCTGGACAGACGAGATGACCTTATTAAGCATCAGGACATCAGATATCATGTTCTGTAAGAACCACTGATGAAAAATTGATTTTATTGGGGTTTTATAAAACAACACAGACAACTCATGCTCTTAAAGAGGGAAGAGGGAAATATCACATGCTGTTTTAAAATATATTACTCATATAAGAAGCTTCGGGTGACTTCTGCTACCAACAGAATATTTGTTTGGGACTGCTCTTGATCATTAATTAAGGGGTTAAATGTCTAGTTAAATTCCAGGTCCTAAAAATGTTTATACTAATGCAAAGCATGGTGTAGTAAATGAAGCAAACTAGGAAGTTTGAGAACCAAAGCCTGTCATCTAAATAAAATAACACTGAACTATTTGGCTTACAAAACTGCAAAAGAAAAAAAAGGGAAAGAAAAGAGAGTTTGAAAATTGCTTTTGGTTTGAGATAGTCATTGTCTTTTCTGTAACACATGAAGGAAATCGGAACCTTTCTGTCCAAACATAATCAAAGAGACACAATAAAAGCATGATGTGTCTTTGAAAGAGAAATTGCAGGTGCTTTATGGTTCTTTCAATTGGCCATTAAGTTTCCTTTTGTCTGTGTTCAGGTATCAAACAAATCCTCTTGGAAAGATATTCTTTTTTCTTTTCACTAACAATTTCTCTGCTCAGCCGGGGGGACAAATGCTGTGCCGCGTTCTCTCGTGATGTGAGAAACAGGATGACAATATGCTCTCCATGCAAAAAAAGAGGTTTCTCTCTAGGAGGGGAAACAAGGAGAGAAATAGGGCTGCGAGGAAAGGAGCAGGTGAACAGGAAAAAAAACAAGGGTTAGGAGGGCATAACAGACAGAAAATGCTTTCTGTCAGGACAGAGGACTCTGGAGGCTGGAGGTCTCAGCAGCGTCTGTCTTTATCAATAATGCAATACACATGCGTGCCACCTCATGGCCTTATACATTTTTCAGCGACCTCAGACATGGAGGATCTTCACCTTGAGTTTTCACTCATTTTCAGAGGCAGCTGGAGAGACGAGCTCATGTGAGCATGCTGAACTCAGAGTTAACCCTGACTGCAGTACGGTGACACCTGTCATCGTCATGAATTTGGCTGCTGACTGTTTTCTAGGTTTGAATTGATGGACACCAAAGGGAATATATGTGAAACTCTGTGACACCAGGGAGCTCAGTCACAAATATACATAATATGGATTTAAAAACAGAGAGAGGCACTATGTTTCAAGAGACATTCTCCATGTTGTTTCTTTTGGCCACTTTCTCCATCTGCAAGTAGTTCCTATGTCATCTATTCAGCTATCACATGCACTTCCTTCTTAATAGTTGCAATTCTATTACAACAAGTACAATCCATCACTCTAAGAAAAACAAACTGAATGTGTGCAGAAATTAATTAGTATTGATGCAGAGATTAAGAAGTAGAACTCTTCACATTAGAAAGGTATAAATGCCAAAGCATGCTGACATGCCTTTTTTTTTAGGAACTAATGACTTTTTGAGAGTTAAAGCTTTCTAAACACCAACTTTTCTGTTAAAATGGTATTTAGAAATTGAGTGTGAGTGTGCTCAGCGACATAAACCTGTTTTCAAACCCTTTCCATGTTGATAAATAATACATTTTTTTGAGTTCCAGCTTTGTGAACTCAAAAGTTGAGAGTTGTGAACCCTCTGAGTCTTGCCTCTGCAGCTCTCATGGGGCTGAAGAAGTCCAGACTTCCACAGATGAGATTCAATCCCCTATCTTGTGCACTTCAGATTTTCACTTGAGACAATAATGCTTCAGTCCAAGGCGTTTGCCCTCTTCAGTGCTAACAGGATCAACTGTGAGGGTTGCCTGAGGCACACATAAAGTAAGGGCATGCTTAGGCCCACCAGTGCCTCCCTGAATCCCATTCTGTTTAGGACCCCCAAAAAAGCTTGAGGCCAGCCCTGGAGTTCCCACTTGACAGAGAGGGGAAGTGTACTTCTGCTGGGATAGCTAAGTCGTAGAGATTACATACTTTTTTTTCTGCAGCAATAGTCACATAATTCACAGCTATAGCTATCCTTTTTTACCTCTCAGTGTGACAAATAGCGATTAAAAGTGTCACAAAGTGTCATCCATTGACTTGCTTTTGCCCTGTGGCTCAAGGAGACAGGAATAGTCGAGAAGTCTGAATTCATTTGCACACATATTTTGGGCATGAAACCCACACTGTAAGTTAAGCTTTCCTATATCTTGAAAACTGAGTTGACTTTTTTCATGTTAGAGAAAAGCTCGACTGTCTTCACTCCCCTACCACCTGCTCTAAGAGTGCAGCTCATTATTGAGGGTCGGCTGGACAGCTTTGGGATGTGAGAGTCTACTCCTCAACCAAACCCGGAGAGATTCTTTTTTTATCATACACAAAAATGTCATAATGTATTTATCATACATACCCTTTCATCTGAATATAACTTATCATGCTCTTTCTTCTGCCTGGTTGAGTTTAATAGATATCCAAAGAGTTCAGCCACATAACTTTCAGTAAATATCCACTGTCCCTTTCCAAAAACTTTATTCATTCACTTTATCTAGCAGTCTGCGTTTTTATTTCAGTGGCTAAGCCCACAGTTTTAGGTAATCCTCCTTTCAGCAAATTAGAGAGATAAGTGTTTTAATTATCCAAAGCTTCACACAAAATATGATTACACGTTCATGGTTCCTACAAACTAATCTCTCTACATGAAAACTTTCTTCTTAAGGTATAATATGTCTGTTTAATAGTTAACATTTATCTCTGAAATGTAAAAATGCCACTAACTATGCTATACAAGCTGGATCCTCATCATGTGTCCTTATTTAATCAAAGATGTATTTTGGGCCTTTTTATGCCATCATGTAGGGATAGAGTCAGAAACCAGGGAGAGAGAGAGAGTGGAAAGGCATGCGGGGAAGGAGCCACAGGTCAGACCCAGGCCGTCCGTCCTTGAGGACATCAGCCTCTGTAAATAAGCTGCGTTCACTGATCAATAGGCTACTGGCACCCTCTATCATGTGTGCTTTTGGAGAAATGAAAATATTTTCTCTTTCCGCTTTGTACTTTCTATTCTTATCTCCAGTATTAAATCATGTATTTTCACACATAACTATATATCACCTGTGATACCATAACCAGTGGTTATGATGAAACCATGAAATATTATTTTTGTTTCACATCTAGGGGAGGATTTTCTGCCAGCAGAGTCTAAAAGACAATTAACATTAACATCCCTTTTTAGACCAGTGGCAATTACTTTTTCTCAGAAACTGTCAATTCCTGATAACAAAAGAGACTTAAATAAAGACTTAATATAAAGGCTATCAAATTATTTTATAATCGAGATGATTTACAAAATTTCAATAGTTAATCAAGATTGTCCAATTTTTTTCTGGTAGATCGAAGTTAAACTTAAGTGTAGAAAAAGGAAAAAACTAAATAAAAACAGCTGAACAGTAAAAAAAAAGTGAAATGTTCGATGTCATAAGGTGGGTTTGACTTTTTACTGATCAGCTGAGCTTTCTAAAAGTTTTTTAAAGTAAAACGAGAAATTTAAAGATGCAGCAGTGTTGCTCTTTTTCCATCACTGTGACTACAGGGAGACACTGCAGAGGAGTATCCACAATGTGCCCAAAGGGACAAAATAACAAAACAGAAAAACGGGATTTAATTTGAAACCTTAAATTATTGTCATTAAGTAGTAAATGCTGACAGCCCTACTAAATATACAGCTTTAAGTAGTCAACAAGTTCTATTAGTTTGTAGTGAAGCACTGCGGCAGCACTGCATTTTGTGAATCAGTGAGACAAAGAAAGAAGCAGTCACAGAAGTATAAGCCCATGATCATTCCCTGAGACTGAATATTAGACAGGCAGTCAACTACATTGGCATGAAGGGATTTGGAGCAGCAAAAGCATTATGTTTCCCTGCCAAGATATATCAGCCTCCAGCAAGAGGAGCTGTGTGTAATAACAAAGGCTAATCAATGTCTCTTAACATATTAAAGTTTCATATCATATGAAAGTCGTCGGGGAGTTAAGGAGATTCTTGTACATGTCATACTGGTTAGTATGCCTTGAAATGAAAAATTGGCTGCTTATGTTCAAAATGTGAAAAGACTACTTGTCAACAAGAACACTTTAGCTTGAAAGCTGATGGCGTAAGAATATTTATGCAATGTGTCTTGGTTTTTAGAGGACCAGACATTTCTGGTTTTGTTTGATGTAGTTTTGGCATCTGGGACCTATCATAGGTGGTAAAAATCATTATATCAAACCCGCCAAAGATGAATGTTATCAACGTTATCAATTCAAACTCTTGGTGGCATTTGTGTGCAGGCTTATCTTCTTCTTAAATCTGCTGATTTTGCACCGCCCTGCACCTTAGTGATGTGCGTATAACTACCTCCTGTTTCTTTCCGTCATTAAAATAATGAACGTGACTGTACTACGGGCACCAAGCTTAAGCTAACCTTTACCAAGTGACATCAATCAAAGTGGTTCTTTTGAACCCTCTGCTGGACACAGCAGGGGTCAGGGGTCACTGATGAAGGGCACTATTAACTGTGTTGTGGGCTCATCAGGAAATCAAGGAGCTGACAGTGTCAGAGGGGTTACCAGAGGAAGGTGGAGGAACAGGGACAGGGAGGATGTAGGTGGGAGGGAGAGGTCTGAGAGGTGAGAAGAAAGGCAGAGTCAGCAGACTATCGGGGCACAGGTAGACAAGGACCTTTGTGAGCCAGATGTTAGATTCACCCACATTGTGTAGCAAGCACGTGTAGTGCTACAGTTTTTCGGCTCTGCACGTTTTTGGAGTATGCGTATGTGTGTGTATGTACAGACAGTAGGATTTTTGACACTTATTCTGTGTTCAAATCAAAGAACGATATGCTTTGCTCTCTTTAACATGTACCTGATTTTCTTAGCTCTGACCTTTAAGCAGGCCAATATTATGGAGCATTTCTAATTATGATTCACCCAGCTGCCATGTGCACTAGTGTGTCTGATAATACTGTTTGTCGCTTCCTATTTAACACAAAATAGTGTTGTCCTTACTTAAGGGAGAGGGAGTAGTCGTTCTTGCTGGTCTCGCTGTTTCTCACCAGGTAGCTGGCCTCCTTACACAGCCTGAGCAGAGATTCAGCATCTGTTCGACTTATCGCTCCATGGTACCAGCTACAGGGAACAATAGGAAGAGAGGATCAACAATGAAATGTTGAGAATAAGCAGAACATTTCAAAAGGAATTGAAAACAGTAATGGTCTAAGCTGCGTGGGCACAAAACAGACAAAATAGCCAACATAAATTATTGGAAATAAGACAGAGTCACAAGAAAGGAACACAAAGACCAGACTCACAACTGGCTCTCTAGGGGCATGGAGGGGTCAATACGCTCCCCGAGAGAAGAGCTGCAGTGGTCCAGTGAAGACAATTTGGTGTTGACCAGACAGCCACTGGAGTGTCGCTGCAGCGGGCGGGTTTTACCGTCCTTTGTAGGCGACATGCGAGATTTCTCCACTCCATCAAACTGAACTGTAATAAAAGGAAAATGAAACAGCTTTAATGTTGTAAAAGAATAATGGATATTTTAAAATAGTTAAAGCTTCTACAGATACATTCCTGTTCAAAGTGTTCATTTTCATTTCAGATATTGTTATTAAAAGTTGGTAAAGCTGGTGTGCTTAACAGAGAGTAGACATTCTAAAATGCTAGGGCATGAATTGCCAATAAAGTCTCCACTTAACTTTACAACAGCAATGAGGTGTGTGTGTGTGTGTGTGTGTGTGTGTGTGTGTGTGTGTGTGAGAACAGAAAGCAGGTTGTGCTTATGTATTCACAGTCACACACAAAAGCAAACACACACTCAAACACAAAGTGTCACTCTGTGTAACTCATCCAAATGAAGGACATGTACACACAGTGGAGGAGGCATAAATCAATCCTTTCACCTGTGTACATACACGGTAGTGAGAACACACACACAACACACACAAACATCCTCCTCACCACTCCGACACTCACTCATGCATCATTTGCACGTATACCCACACAAATCCCACGCACAAGTACTGAGAGTTAAACATTAAATTGGCTTTTCAAAAATCTCACGCTCTACTGTGGATGCGATAAGCTCCCTTAGTAGCCTCACAGAGATGTGTTTGATGGTGTGTGAAAGGGCTGGAGGTGACCATGACATGACTGGCAGAGGTCACTGGGTGAATTCACAGCCAATCAGCACGCAGAAAAAACATTTCTAGTTATTTACAAAAGCTATCATGAGAGGAGAAGATAATGTGCAGAAGGACATGTGAAAGTGAATTCTTTGGGGAAGGAGCAATGTGGTCGCCTACGTGTTTGTACATGCGTGTTTTAGACATTTTTCATCCATCCATCGCTGTAATGGCTGTCACAGCACCCTCGGCTTTGGAAAGAACGATTTAGAGCCACTGACACGCTTCATGAGCAATAACTGCAACACCTTCATGACAGGCTTTTGCCTGAGATTTTTGTCTGCTTAAAGATTTGAGAACAAATCAAAGTTGAGCCTTTGATGGAAGGAGTTCATGGTTTGAGACGCACGCACGCACGCACCTCCATCTTCACAGATCTCTGTCTTTTCTCTTAACATGGCAGTCAGTGTATCGAGAGACAGGCCCTGTGAACATGTTAGTTGGGAAGAGTCTACATCTGTCTAGACAATGAATTCCAGGTAGAGGATGATATTACACCTTACAGTCTGTAAGCTCGCCAAGTGCTCCTGTAGCAGACTGAGTAGAAGGGCTGACAACATTAATCAATCAATTTAGGCTACACGAGACAACAGCATGTCGACAAATTTAACTGAGCTTGTGGACGCCTGTAAGTGGGGCTGTGTGAGAGCTCCTTCTTCAGATAAGGAAAATAACCGTTCATATCTTTTAAAACATTTCTTTGATGTGTTGTCTTTGTCTTTAAGTTGTAAATTGTGGTCTAAAAAAACTGCCAACTCTTTACTGAAACAGCCATTGAGAGGTTTGAACTTTAAGATTGTTTGCCTGTCACTTCTCATGTTCATATATATCACAACAAAGCATATAATCACATATTAAATGCTGTGTACCAAATTGTTCTTCATAAAAGACCAGGGGATGGCGCGACTTGTCTGATGTTAAAATGATGCCATATAATAATGTCCTAAAAGTTAATACAAAGGAGATTAGCAGAACTTGAGTTTCCCATTGGTTTGCTTTAAGACCCCACAGATTTAACTTAGCTGACAATGCTTCTTAAGTAAATTTTGGATGCATTTTTTGAATTTCTTTTTGTTGTACTTCATAAGAGTTAAGATCGGAGTAATTCCAGTGCTATCTGTGAACGAACACAGTATGTTTGAACATAAATGTTGCAGTTTCAGCTTTGACCACCAGGGGCTCCCCTTTACTTCCAGTCAACTCCAGGTTGAACTCGCTGGCCTTGAGCTCAGTGATGCGTTCCCCCTAAACCTAAACTAATGGAAATTATTATTTTAAATGACAAATATGGTTGTTATCCTTGCCTTCCTGACTTCTGTTTGTTATAGAACTACAGCTGAGTCCTAAAATGACAGCCTGATTGTACTGTCACATGATGGCTGCTGGTTAAATTGCAGCTCCAACCTGAGACTGGAGGAAGACTATAGCTGTAGCTTAACTTTCTTTAGGGTCGTATGCTCGGACTACAGGCGGCCAAAATAAGATGTCTGCGTGTTGCATTCAAGTCTACATGAAAGTCATTTATAGTTCTCTACTTTTTCATACAGTCCATTTGAACCACATGCTGACTGCTGGGAATACACTAGGCTCAACATACAGTATATGGGCACGGGTGAGAAATAGCGTTTCCATGGAAACTGACCAAGGGGACAAGGGAGATGCATGTTTGCTCCACTCATCCCTGTCAACGCTGACAGATCACAACATGAAGACGTAGCCAATTGCTCTCCCTCAATCCCTCCTTCGCTTTCAATTCCTCTCTTCCTGTTTGAAAATGTCCCGGCCCTTCCCCTGCGTCTCCGCCTGACCTTTTCTTTTGAGCTTTCCATCTCATACACTCCACTTCTGTCTCCGACTTTTTTTCCCTCAGTGATTTTGTTTGTCAGGGACGAAGAAGATAGGGGAAAATTGACTGTGGAGGAATGTCTGCTCATCTAGGTGGGGGAAAACAAGGAGGAGAGATGGAGCAGTTACAGCTTCGATCTGTTATCTCTGCTGTTTCTGATGGTCCTAATAAAGGGTTATCAATCACAGAGCCTGATCCCAAATTGTTAAATTTTCCCCTAAATTCTATGACCATATATCTTAACACACAAGGTGCTGGTGTGGCAGTAGGATGAATGTTTCTATCTTGGTTTTTCCACACAGTCCATCTCTCAGTGTATCTTAAAGCTCACTCAGCCGTCCGCAGTCATAGCTTTTACAATTTCTCCATTCTTCCAGCACCCACACTAATTTCTACTCTTCCCCAGATTCAACACAATCAGTGCTTTCATTTGACCTTGATTAAACCCTTTTCTTTTTCCACCACCAAGAAAAGCTTGAGAGGCTATACTCAGAGGAGCTCACCCTATCAACCTTCCCTGTCAGAGCTCGGACTTTTCCACTCACAGAGTGCATCGTTCTGAAAGAAGAGTATAACCTCCAAACTAAACAAAAGCTATCCTTGTACTATTCTGCTTTAATGCCATCTCACCTGAACTTGCATTGGCTATGGCAGAATTCTATTTAAAGATTGAATATCAATGGGAGAGAGCCAAACTCATTCCCCCTTTCATTCTCTGGAGCACACACTCTGTAACATGGCCATCGGGAGATTGACGAGAGGATTGGCCCGGACAAGAACAAAAGCCTTGAGAGGCAGCTTAAGACAGACGACAGGGTGAATACACACTCTCACACACATACGGAAACACAAACACACAGAAGTGAAATGCACAGGGGCATCTGTGTGTGTGTTATCAGTATTGTTGCTTGTAAAGCGCAGCAAATGGAATCTGTGTATCAGATTGAACTGTCAGTCAGATGGTGAGTGATTGCTGAACGACCTGCCCCCTTCAGATACGCAGCTACGTCTAGAGAGAGCTCAATAAAAAAGAAAATAAAAAGAGGATTTAAAGAAATGTTGTGTGTAAAAGAGGGGGGTACGCACGTAAATATAGGGGTTAAATAACACTATTATTACACTGTGACAAAGCCAAAACATAAAAAGAAACAATTTAATGCACCAAAAACAGAAATACACAACAAAAAAAGCCATGGAGTCAGTGACTTTTTCACATAGCAGATGTTGTCTATTTTTGACAATAGCATTGTTTAACTCAGGTTTATCTGTTTGCAGATGTTACTTTACCAATAACTCACAATTTAAATTATTTATTCCTCTCGGTATAAAACATCTCCAGGTCAGTTCTTCATCAAATATCAGGGAGTTATTTCATAGGTTAAAATGGTTTTTAATCAAACTTACTATGTCTTCGTTTGTCTATAAAAATGACTAACAAATGTTCTTTTTTGTCACAAAATGGCAGCATCTCCTGCATTTACATTGTTAAGTATTTTTTCTCTTGTTAAAATAATGTATGCAAATTAATATGTGAACTGTGTTATTCGGGTTGTGTTGGTGGTTTTGTATTATCTTTAATTAGCTGCAGGGTGTGGCTTACACATAAGCCATTTTCAGGTTTTTAGCACATATAAATACTATCTGAAAACAGAAAAAAAAAAGAAAACAAATTAAAATGCAAAGATATTTTATTGACAGTGTGTGAGGGCCAAAATATAAAAAAAATTATAAGTATTAAAAACAACAAAATTATAGGGATAATACAGCATCACATAGGCTTCTGAACAACAGGAATAATTCTCTTCCCCCCTCTACCCGTCCTCAGCAAATTTCTCTAATTAAGCCAGCTAATTAATTCTCATCTATTAACAGTGCTCCTATCAGAAAGGATGACCAGGCTGACGTGTGAAGTGTGCCATCATCCGCTGAACTGAGAAATTAAGTCTTCCAGCCAGGACATGTGAAATGATTAACAGGTCTGTATCTCATTAGAAAGCAGTGCACATTAAAAAATTGTGATCAGCGTGATATATACTCACCCAAATGGTCGTTCAAGAAATCTTTCACTTTTATGCTGATATTAGTTATGTGCATGTGAATCTCAAATGATGGGTTTGTCTCATAACTTTTTAGCGATTCCACCATATTTGAAAGCAATTTTCTCTGTTATATCAATAAATAAAAAAAGAAAATATATTCTAATTAGGTTTTCCAAGACAAAACAATGACCCTCCAAAGTGTCAGCTAGTGAATCTATTTCAACTTAAATCTGGATATCTTTTCATTACTTACTTTTTTTCAGTCTTCATTGATATAAGGAGGGAGGAGTTTAGAGAAATGCCTCATAGTCTGGATAATTAATTCTTGTCTAAAAAAACAAAGGGAAAAAGCTCTGCAATGTACTTAGACAAAAGTGCTTCCATTTATATGTAGATGTAATATCTATGCTGTCAAGCTGCATTTACATATTGATAATGAAGTTTGACCTATAAAGCTGATTTCCCTGTACTGTAATGCACATTGTTTTTTCCTAGTTTACATTAGAGTCAATCCTAATAGCCTTCACGAACACAGACACTTAGCTCTCAGGCAATCTGCAGTATGTAAGCAATCCTGTGTGTAACGGATGACTAATGTCCTGGTGCATGACCGAGAAGCTGCCTGAACGCTGAGGTCAGCAGAGTGCATTGTAACTGTATTCACCAGGGTCATGGAGGCCATCACCCCCCATGTCTGCCACTTTGACCTTAGACCCCAAAGATGTAGAGTGGGGCCATACTGGCTCAGACAGAGCGAGGATCACTTTACAGCTGGATGCCAATCTTAAACCCACTCACATCACAGAGGCAACCAGAACCTTTCCCATGGATTTATGGACATAAATCAACCCCTCGCCATGTCCTCGCCTTCAGCACGCAGCGGTGTCCTTTTACACGCTCTCACTCTAAGTCTTCTTACTCTGTCAGGGGAAACCCCATTCCTGGCATTAGTTCTGCTACACGTCCGTCTTTTCCCCCGGTAATTACAGCAGTCAGAGTTTGAGCTTTAGAAAGGGCTTCAAAAATCCACTAGAGGATGTATTTGTTGAAAAACAGATCAATTACTACATTGTGTGATAAGATGCTAAATATGGCTTAACCTGAGTCTGATTTTCCAATTCATGTAAGCAACTTGTAGCGAGCAGCAGGCTGGAGGGACATCTGGGACGGTTATGAGTATGTTGACAAGAGGAAATGGGGGTCACAGCAAATGGCAATTACGCATGCAGAAGGCGGTTCGGCACAATTAAAACTAATGAGCCTTCAGCCCTAAAAACCTGCACAAGAATGAGTGATTTTCTGCCACATGTAATCCAGATGGAAAAGTGCAGTCATTACCCAACGTCACACTGTGTAATGCTGTTAAAAGTTAAAGTCTTTCAGCAAGTCACCACTGACCAGTCAAGTTTAAGTGGACACTTTCACATAATCAGAGATTGCCTTTCTGTACTGCTGGAATGTTTTGAAAATGATCAAAGAATATGCTGGTGGAGGAAACCACTTTAAGTGGAATTCTTGGCAAGCCAAATGTAATCTATTTTGCTGTCTGTATAAATACAAGTGAAGATATAGATCACACTTATGTTGTCTCCAAATAAAATGCAGACAGATAGACAGATATATGATGACATGGGATGATGGATGGATGGACGGAGATGGATGGGGATTCATGTTAGGGGGTTTGGGGTGTAATGGAGGGTAGTTGACGGGAACGACGCTGGACAATGTGAACACCAACACCCACCCTGGTGGTGCTGGTCACAGCTTGTCTGTCCAGGAGAGGGCTGAGCTGTCTGCGAGGGAGACTCCAGCTCCTCCGCAGGGGGAGGGCTGGTGTTGAGCTGCCCAACAGGAGGGGGCCACGGTAGGTCCTTGATCACTTTAATCTCTACTGCAAGGGGCGACGGAGTCATCAGAGGAGAGATGGAGGGAAAGGAAAAAGGACAGCAATGAGAGACAAATGGACGGCACAGGGAATGAGGAGAGGGAAGTAATGACAGGATAAAGAGATACAAAAAGACAAAAGGAAGAAAGCGCAAGAGAAAAATAGATTAGAGCAGAAGATCTCAGCATTGTTTGAGGAGAGCTGGTTTATTTTTTTGATCCGAGGGTTTGCACTAGCTGTGGACTAGACAAGAAAAGAAATGCAACAAGACTGAAAAAGAAGTGAAGTTAGATTACTGGACAGTAGGGTGGGACTCTGATGGCAGGTGACATTTTGACTTGGGTCAAGGTTGATTAAAAAAAACCTTGAATTTGTAATAGAAGCTAATTGTCAAAGGTTATTTTCTTTTTAATTGAAAGCTCAACTTGGAAAGGAATTTGGAAGGATTCAAAGTCAGTAAACAATCTGTTAAGCTTATATTGCTTCTAGACGATGCTTCTGAACCCCAGCCCTACCTGAGTAGTCAAACCCTCTGTAGTCTTAGCTCCCCTCTCCATTGGCTCCTTTTCAACAATCCTGACAATCCAGATAAGAACCCAGACTGACTGAGTTAAGTTTCATTTTTGGATCCAGGTGTGTGATATGATGGACTTTATTTGGAACTCCACATCCCTTAAATAATGTATGTTCAGTTTAAAGATAGGTACTGATAGAGTTTATCAGTATACATTATACATGTGTTTTAAGCAGGTGCTATATAACTAAAGTTGTTATTATTATAACTATTATATGCTGTTTTTGTCAAGTCGTTATTTTAAAGTCTATAGACCTTTCTATTAAGAACAACAATGTAAACAGTGTGATTCACTGGAATCTACCTCAGATCAATCCGTCCTGGCAGTGGACTCTCCACAGACTTTGACCCTCATGTCCAACAGGATTTGCCAGGTCAGGTCAGGTCAAGAAAGAAGTAAAAGAAAAAGCCGCATTCAAAACTGTAATGTCAATAAAGCTGACTCAGTGCTCCTTCAGCAGTGCTTGATGAAAAGGGCTCAACTGTTTTCACAACCATTACTGTGCCACTGTCTTGTTTGGTACACAGGCTTGTGTTTGCATAATGTTATGGACTTGTCTCTCTTCCACCCTGCAAGGAATTGCAGCAGCAGTGGTAAAGGACAGGCTAATGAGAAGCAATATCTGCAAGTTTAATGAAGGGGGGAAACTGTAGAATATTCTATCTGACAAGCAATTAAATAGCCGGGCCTGCGGTGTCAGGGGGCTAATCTAGAGAAAGGTGGCTGAAAGTAGGAGCTGATTGCTGTCTTTTCTGATGGGAGAGGTGTGGGCTGGTGGACTGGAGGAGCTGTAGGGTGGGGGAATGGAAGACAGAAGGTCAGAAACTCTTGGAGATAATTCAACTTCCACCACTTTGGGGTGAAGTAGGGGACTCTTTTCCTGTGAGATTAAAAGCCTAATGCTCATTTCACATTGCAGATTAGCGTGTAATTGTTTGGGGCTCTGCTCTCCGCAGCCTCGCTGTGAGGACGAGGAGACGATTTGGCCAAGTGTGGCTCAGTTTTGCTTGGTTGCACAGCTGAATAATAGCATTTAGTACCATGTAAATTGAGGTATACTCATTCAGAGGCCAGGTGTGTTGTTACTTTTTAAACTCTGGGTGACTGGAATCTCAGCAGTCCTAAAAAAACAGTAATAACAAAAACCCAACCAGTCACCAGGTCCTCTTGAATAATCACTGATGTTATGTTGCTGTCTCTTTGAGTGAATTTACACATTGTGGCATTTCATCAATTATAAATTCAAAGAGGTGATAACTGCAGATTCCTTCACACATGACAGGTGATTTACTCTTCAACCCTGAAGACTTCAAACTGCCAGAAAATATTTTCACCGACCTGCCCCCATACTACAAACCTATTTATGTGGTGGTATAGGGGCTGATGCAGAATTCCAGTGATTATAAACTCTGCAGACGGTATGCTGGAGTAAACAGCAGGTTCACTGTTTCAGAGACTTGAGGTGAAATTAAAGTATATAATATAATTCCCAACTTACATTATGTCAATTAATGCAACTTCACTCTTGGTTTATTTGTTGTAGGTTAGTACGTTTATGGACCAATGGGACTGGAACAATGCGTAAAGAAAAATAATATGACATCTTGCATAATCCTTAAAATCACATCAGTTTACAACAGCTTCTGTTGACTGAGGTGAAAAACAGTTCAATCGTATTTAAGTGCACAAAGATGGCCATGATAAAACTTTTATAACAACTGGATCACCTTGTCATGTAAATATCCCATGAAATGTGAGCTTTGGAGGATGTATAATGCTGGCAACATGTCTCTTGGTTAGGACACTGACAGATTAAGCAGTCTGGTGGGGGGCATTCAGTAAGCTTGAGTTTTGCAAACACTTTGGCTGATTATTTGTTTCTACAGCACAATTTATCACTAGAACCTGAGAGCACTTGAACAATGAGCAAGGGTCCCTTTTTTTATCTAGGTTTACCTTCCCTTTTTCCTCCAGGAGTAGAACTTATTTTAAAGTCAGGTATTTGTTTACCCTGGCATTTCATTAGTCCCTGGCACTTCATCACTGTAAACAGTGCAGCACCATAAATCAACGGCTATGCTGTTTCCACCTTCACCATTTAATTTAGTTCTGCTTAATTTGGTTGGCTAATTGCATGCATATTCAAAACAAGCTGGAAGATCGCAATGTTTATGCCACACATCATGCGCAGAGGAGCGTCAAAAACAAACCAGCATCTTCTGAAGACGTGTTTGTTCCAGTGGCACCCAAATTATTACAGATAACAGCTGTGTTATGCTCCAGGGGAACTGAAATGCCACCTCATAGTTTTCTCCTTTACTGTATTTCTCACATTATATGGTCCATCACTCTTTCAAGGCACAGATCTGTTTTGAAATTTGGTTTGTTTACATAAAATATGAAAGTGGGTGATGGAGATGTGATGACAGTACGGCATTTACCTCAGCTCTTATCAGGAGAGAGAACGAAGAGGTGTATAAATGACGGCCGGTCGGCAGGAGTTTCAAAGAGGGGTTGACGAAGGTGTGCTGCCTTGGAGGGGAGATATACAGCGCTGTTGTGTGAGGCCAATGTGTGTGAGTGAAGATAAGACCTGTGGCGGTGCTTGGTGAAAGGCGACAGGACACGTTTGAGGCTCATGAAAGCGGGCTGTCAGGAAGGTTATCAGTGGGGTGCTGCAGCAGAGGCCAAGAAGACGAGACAGAGCTGAGATGGAGCAGAGGAGTGACGGACAGACAGACATCATTGGGGCAACCAAATCAGCCAAGCAGAGCTTAACAGAATCACAGCACCTGCAAAACATCTGGCTTTGACCCTTGTGCAAAAAAAAAAAAAAAAACAGTACAGAACTGTAACTGAATCAATTATTTATTTAAGGACTTGAGCTTCAGATTTCTGGGTCGTTAAGCACATAGGGATTCATTAAAAAAACATAAAGCTGCTTAAGACCGGAGGGAGCCACCAACAGCGCCTTCTCTTATCTAGTGTTAAATGTATGGCACCCCACTGGGCAGGAGCCAAGTGGAAGAGTTAGAAGCAGGTAACAGAGGGCAAGGAGATTAGGTAACAATGGCCCTCAATACATTTCCTGCTGTGAGGAGGCTCAGATTTCTGATGGCGGCATGTCCATGTCTGCCTGAGTGAGTGAGAGTGCCATGTGCAAGTCAAGCACTTGACACTGACAGACCTGCCAGCAGGTTTTCCATTGCAGGTTTCATCTTATGGTCAAATTCTAAAGAGTTTTCACCTCCAGGCTCATCCATCACCTCCTCGGCAGCCAGGAGGGAGACAGGAAAGAGTGTGCTCAGTCTGTGAAGTGTGTTTGGGGTGGGGTGGGGGGGAGGATGAGTGATTAACCAAACCGCAAGTACACAGCTCCCCTACACCCTAACAAGGCAGGGAATTTACATTCCATTGCATACCTGTCAGGAGATAGCCCAACAGTGAATAATAACGCCAGTTCAAGTGTTGTGAAGAGGCGAGCATGCAGGCAGTGGTGGGGACAGCCGAGGAAAAAAGGGCTGCAGTTGGGAGCATTACTCTGCTCTCCTTCTTAAAGCATTAATGAAGACAAATAGTCTTTTAAGAAGATGGTATTAGCATGTTACACCATGGTGGGAGGGCGTAGGCTGCACTTGGTATTCATTTAATCTACCCCTTCTTTTTTAAATCTTACACCCACTCCATGGCTTAGTCAGGTTGTGCATTTTTTTTTTCATTATCTGCTAATATTTTGTTTGCAGACACTTTCATTCCCCACATAATTGTTGGAATACAAACTGTGAATGTTTGGTGGGGTGCAGAAAAACTAGCTTTGGAATACAGCTGGTGAACGGCATCATTAGTCACTGATATTACACAGTCACAAAGTGCTTCAGCAACTAGAGAAACATCACTGAGGGAAAATTGCTCTCTAGAAACCTAACAGCACACCGAGGCTGTGGTTAGGCTGCTTTTAAAACAGGCCATCTGCCCACAGAAGTGCTTGAATCAGGCCTGAAATAGCAAACTGGAAACACTTTTATAAGCTGACTTAATCACTGACATCTGAGGACACATCTGCATTCTGGCAACGGAGAGCAGTAGTAGATCTTCAATTCAACCATTTATTTCTACAACACTAGGAGAACTTTTATGTTTACTCGTTCATGGTATTTTTTCTGTATATCATGCACAAACATTCATTTCTGATTCTGCTCTTAAACTGTTTGGTTATTTGTGCAACATGTACAATATGTGCATTTTTTTCTTTTTCTTCTTTGATGTTTCCTTACTCTTTTCTGCAGCTTGAAACTGAAACTTTCCTAGTTAAATAATAAATAATGGTTAATTTTATCTCATTAAGACATTAGAATAACGTGTTTAGAGACCAAAATGATCTAGTTACAGATTTAACTAAAGAAAATCCAACATAAAATGAGACTCTTGATCCACCATGACATCCAATCCCAAAACCTGGAGTCCACTAGGACTTGAGTGAAAATTTCGAGAAGTCTCATTTTAAAGATTACAGTAAGTCCATGACCTTATGACTCAGGTTTTATGTTTCATGAACCTCAAGTGACCCTGCTTTGAGTATGTAAGCAAGATCTCTCGTAACTGTGCCTATAATAAACAGGATACCTACGATTTATGACACTGAAAAATTGATTGTCTCAAATTTCTTGACAGTGTCCCTCAGAAACAGCTGTTCAGCCTGCCGGTTTCTAATCCAATGGTTTTCGCAGAGTTCAGGCGTTTAAGATTTGGAACCAAAAGCTGGCCACAGAGTGTTAGTTAGTTTTTTAGATAGTGCCGGAGAGATGAAGTTTGGAGGGCTAGTGAAGTGGGATTGTTCACAGCCTTTAAGAATTGGCTCAAAAGTGGACTTAGAAATACTGAAGCAGTGTAAAATGTCTTGACGGTGGAGGTAAGCTGGTTGCAAAGATCAGAGCCTCAGGTGCAGGCACAAAAGCTCAAGCCTTGAAAGGTGGGAAACATTTTCTAAGCCCCTTGATGTCTGGATCCAAAGCTGGTCTACTCTAACACATGAAACAAAAACAAGCCTGCACTGATGAGGCTTGTCCTAAAGACGTCTTTGTCATCCTTCCCCTTTTTTGTCTTCCAAACAGTGGGGAATTATTTCTGCCTGAATTAAACATAACACAGAAAGAAGACGAGCAATAAATCAAAGTACTTTAAGGACGGCAGCTCTCTTCTTTGAAAGCTGACTTAAAGACACATCACTCCAATTCCAAGCCAAGTCTTTGACATACAAAATGAAATGATTCATTGTCACAGGAGGGATGTTGTCTGTAAAAGGGAAAGTTGAAAGAGGGATGTGTTAGTAAATAGCTGCCTACACAAACACTTCTGAGTGTTGCTTGACAGAAAAATAATGAGGGAGAAAAGGAAATCGATTAAGAATGCAGCATCCCCTTATTTAACTAATCACAGGCAGAGGCAGAACAGCGTGACTGCAATGAAGACCTCGGTTCCTAAAATACTTTGAAGGGAATGGGGAACAGAAATCAAGTGACAGAAACATTATGAAACGTCAAAAAAGTGACTAATGAATAGACAGACGCAAGGTTTGTTCCAGGACTCATTTTAAAGCTGGTCAACTTGTCAGCACTGTCTTCATATAGCAATAAAAATCCATCTTAGCATCTTTATTACTATGTTTTTAAAAACTAGATCTTTCGAATCCATTCAATGTCGAGCCACAGCTGAGAATCAGAAAATGTAATTAATAATGATGCCTCTACATGACCTGCGAAAGCTAACATGACCATCAGCAATAAGATTGATCATTTTGATATATATTATTAATAAGTGAATCTGCTGCCTTGGGGTAGGTGTCAGTCAAGGTAATTAACAGTTCTAGGCAGACACAGTAACATTTTCCAAGGCAAAGATTCTCAATGAGGTTTAACTGTTAAAAAAGCAGGAAAATGTTTCTCTTAACTGCTTTCTCTTAACATGTACAGGAAAATATCAGTAAAGAGATAACAGGTCCATAGGGGGGACAAACTGAAAGCTCCTCAAAAGGATCTTTAAATACATGTGTTTGGACTTGTTTTCTTATGGGATCAATTCGTGGCATGAGTCTGTACAAGATGTGTTTAGATGTTGGATTTAAAGAATAGCTTTACAATATAATGTAAATAATACACAATCCCCAAACTGCCTTGATACAAAATGCCCTTACAAGTTTTCAATGTGTTCAGAATGGACCTTACTTCGACAAGGTATTAATTTGTAATTTGCCTCCAAATCTCTACCCGAGTCCCAAATGGTCCGTCTGTGACTGCGCATTAACAGCAAAACTCTGTTTGGGATTTATCTGTCTCCTTCTTTCTCTCATCAGTTTTGCTTTTAATGAAATATCGTGCAAATGCACTGCAGTGTTTCTGAACCAAACAGAAGGGGAAATAAAATATGAATAATACACAAGAGTAATATATCAAAATAGAATTAAAAGTATTAAAGAATGTAATATGATCTGAACATAATGAAGAGAATATCAAATATGCTGATATTGGTCCATGTCCATCTTCTCTGAGAAATTACAACACTTCTATAAAGCTCAGTTACTCTTCCAGCGTGAAAAACTGAAGAATGGGTGAAAAATCTGGCATCATATTTTCCCAGTTGTATACAACGATAAAGATCTGCTCTCATTTAGATTTAATTACAAATACAAATGTTATTCATTGATGAGTTATTTATCCTCATCCAAGCAGAATAACTATCATTTCTAAGGACGAGTAAAGCTGAGCGAAAGGCTTAAAAGCCTTTTTGTGTATATTTTCCATTTAAAATGATCTTCAAATAATTTATTTTGATATGATTAAGAAAAGCCCCCCTATAAGAGGCTCACTTGGATCACTGGTTGTTTGGTCTGTCTGTTAAAGCAGAATGGAAAAGCACTATGAGCTTATTAGGTAGAAATGAATTTGCACTAGTTCAGCTTACATTTGAATTCCCATAGAAGGAAAAAAATATATTTCAACGTTTTTTCAAGCTGGATTTTTGCATCACTAGAGGTGGAGAGGTGACATCCATTCACTCACTCCACCAGTTACACAGATCACCTCATCTTCCCTTCTTCCAAACACAAAGGAGAGTTGCTGCACTTTTTGCAATTGTTACGTATCTGCTGAAAGGCTGATTTGAAGAGGATTTTTAGGATGGCTGTTCCTTTTTTAGTCCACTTCAAGCACTTGGCAATCACAGTAGCATCCTCTAGTTAATGTCACACAAATCCAGAACATTTCTAACAAGCTGATTTGCATTTTTCTGTAAGTGGGTGACCTTTTTTCCAAGTGCTAGTGGAGTTGAATTTCAGAGTCTACATAATCATTTTTGCAGTGTTAACTCAATCCCACAACTGCTAATAACCTTGGTTGTATCATTACATTTCAATTACATTTTTACATTGTGCACTTAGGATTTAAGTGTGACATATATCCCAATACTCAACATTAACTATAACCCAGGAGGTTCAGGCATACAATTTGAGTATGAAAACACAGAAAGACAACAGAAACTCCCAAGCCCCGTCTCCATTGGTACCTGTGAGGGATTTAGAGGTGCAGTCCTTTCTTCCGTGGGGGATCTGATCCAGTGCCATTTACAGAGCCCTCGTAGCTAATGCAGTCATAACAAAGCAGAGCTGTTCAAGGATAGAAAAGACAAATATAAAGAGAAAATGGGCGATGAAAAATAGAGTCAAGGGTTGGTGATTTTCTTTTCTTATATTAGATAAAAGGCTTGGTATTTTATGTCTGGGGTGCATATTTACGATCCAAAGCCATATTCTTTCCAGGAACAGCCCTGTTTGATGTTATGGCTGTGTTAGCCATGCTAAAGCTCTCAAACCACAATGACTACCTGCACCTTCATGCACCTGCACAACCATCCATGCCCCCCTGAGCAGCTAAGGCATAATCTAAGTTCAAACAGGCAGCAGTTGGATCAAGACAGCAAACAGTCGACTAGACACCTGCAAGTGAACTTAGTGGGTGCTTTAACAGAGGAGAAGAAAAGATGTGTTAACAGAGAGTAAAGAGCAGCAGCAGCAGAACCTTAAAACCTGCCAAAAACTAAAAAAAAAAAATATTGTTAGAGCTAAAAAAAAAAAAAAAACAGACAGCTGGGTTAGTTGAGCAGAAAAGTTTCACATTTGATTTTGTGAAAAGGTTGAAATTTTAAAAAGTAAAACCCTTGTAGAAAAGCAGTTATCCTCAAACAGTATTAGTTTACATGACCAGGTTCAATACTTTGACAGCAGCACTAACAGTATGAAACAGTCACAGCTGAAGGTAAATGCATTTGAATATGGATAAGGATAAAGAAAGCTTTCACTCTGTTTTAAGGACAAACCTCAGCAATACATTAGCAAAACAGCAAAACAGTGAGGGTGTAATTCAGTACTAACTACTTTAAGCTACCTCTCCTAGTTTTAGATATGCTACGTGTTTGTTTTCAAACTCCCTTGACTCACCGTAATACAGTTCTATCTAATGCCTCTGTGCACTTTCTCTCTTACCTGCAAAGGCTTTGGAAATCCTCTCTTTCTTCCACTCCCAGGGCTGGTCGTACTCCTCAGGGGGTCGTTCATCATCCTGTGGCAGTCGGCTTTCTCTGGGACAGCGCGAGCGCTCAGGGTCAGAGTCTCCACCGTTCTCGGCTGGCTCGTACGGCGTGTCGTACAGGGGCAACTGCCTCAACGATCCGTCCTTTGATCCTCGCCCCCCAGAACGTATTTCTATAAAACAGGGATAACAACGTGTCTTTATGATAGGTTTCTGAAATAAGTATCCACGAAACACAGCAAATGAGATCTGTGGACTTAAGATACATTGATACAGATACATTGACAAAACCAGAAAAAAGGTTTGTAAAAGCCACTTGCACGTTTTGCTGGAAAAGACCAATACATACATACATATACTCACCTTCCAAATGATTAGACTTGGAGGAAAAATTGCCTCATATTCATAGTTTTAGCTACTTCTATTCTAATAACTTTCTCTCATACCTTTGCCACCTAAGGCTGAAAAGTTAACACTTAATATTGTTTTCAACTCAAAATGAGAAAAAAAATGTAAGCTCAGCAACCCTGTCTATCTTTGAGACTCGTGGGTTATTTCTGAGCAATGTAGAATGATCAGAAAAGTGACCATGACCTGGGATCTCAGGAATCAAGTCAGTCAAAAAAAATTCTGTATGTTGATAGGATGTGTGAGTGTCATACAAGGGGCCTCCTTCATGAGGTGAATGATGGTGACAGTTTGCTTTTTAACTGATGACAGACAGGGGAAGTAGAAGAGAGAGTTGAAATAAGTGTAGAAGAGGGAGACCTGGAAGGCTGAGCATCTGTGAAGCACATAGTGTAGCCTCCCTGAACACACCAAAAATCACTGTTCTAAACAACCTTGCTGCGGGCTGCATTCACCTGCTCTGCCAGAACATGGTGAGCATAATTTCCTTTACCCAGCACCCCGTTCTTTCTATGATTGGCCCAAAAACTGTGAACACTGTTCTTAACATTGAATGCATATTTAGTGGATGTAGCCTGGGTGAAAAAGTGAAGCTGCTGGCCCCCACCTGTCCTGTTGAATTAAAGTCTATGAGACAATAATGATGACTTAATATATATTTTTTTTTTATCTCAGTTAACATTTTAACAATGATTTCTGGGCTCATCTCATTTTAAAAATAGTAGTCCAGTTTATTAGGTGATATTGCTAGTTGCAGATAAACAACCTGACTAACCTCTGACTAGAATGAGCACACTAAAGCCCTTTAAAGTTTAAAAAATTTTATCTCTACAACCTCTGTCGGAAGAAGATGATTCCTCGACAGAAAAGACTTAATTCTGGAAGTACAACCTCTCAAAAGCAGCTACTTTGCAGCACATACAAGCCAGCCAAGGTGATCTCAAAGAGGAATCTGAGTGCTGGAAAAGAGTTTGGACAAGAATGTACTACACTCTCAATTTAGAGAGGATTTTGATCTGCTATGTTGGTTGGATGAAATAAATAAGTACAGAACATGTTACATTGCAGATATATTAATGGAGGATTAAAAAAAGCATTTCAACAATTCAGGAGTTGGCAAAACATGATGACATAAATATAGTGCACCTACACATCAGAATCAGTCATTACTTATATGTATGTTTTTTGTTAAAAATCTGCTAAACATCACCTGACCCCAACAAATGCATGCATGCCTTTTATCCTCCATGTAGGGAGATGAAACAGATCTCACTCTTAGTGAAGCATTATACCCTTGAGAACTCTCCTCTTCTCTTTGCCATCCTCTTCCTCTTCCCTTCTCCGATCTCCCTACACTCATATGAAGTTGTTAGCTGCCTGCACCCTTCCTCCTGAGCCACATGAAGCTGTTAGTGGCTAGCAACACCATTGAGTAGTGCAATGTGAGGAGAATGAAATATTGTGCCACACTGCTGCATAATTACCTCTTAGCCCAGGGGAGCTCTTGCGGAAAAATGAGCAATGCATTGAGCCTAATGGAGCTACCCGCTGGTGGTGGTGGTTGTGGTAGGAAGTGGAGGGGTGGAGTGAGGTGAGGCTGCCAGGTCTCGCATCTCAGCTTAATCGTGCATTAGGCAAACTCACACTCTTTGATCTTGCAGTGGTTTTACGAGATCCTGGCATGATTACATCCCACCTCCCCTGCAGGAGAACAAATAGCTCCAGAAGAGGATGGAAGAAGCGACGGGAGGATTCAGGAGGAGGGGAGGGGGGGTATTAATGGTGGGGTGTAAATCTAGTGGGAAGAATCCTTTAATTGGAGGCACGCTCCCTCCGATAAACTACAGCTCTGGATTAAGACTCCCTTTTGAGCCTCCTTCCACTGTCTCTTTTAATTGACTTATGTCCTTCTAACCTTCTATACTTCATTGTTTAATTTCATTCGTCCATCTTTGCTTCCTCCATGTCAGCTTCTGTTAAGGCATGCTGGGTAAAGTGGGTGGGGATACATCTGTCTCACAAATTACAGTGATTTGAATGGAAATGGGCTTGCATGTTGCAACACAGCTGCACTTTATCTTCTGTCTTTGACCTCCAAACCCTCCTAAGAGTCAAGGGTCAACCACCACACCCTCCCTTGATGTTTTTGGATCTCCCCTACTCGGATGTCAGAGTTCCTGTCCAGATGTTGCACTTCCTCTTTTTGCTTTTTTGCCCCCTATTTTGGCTCTTGGAAACCCCTACATTACCCCTGAAAACACTTGCAGTATTTGATTTATGTTCACATGTTTAACTTGTGTAAAGTTTCATGTAAAGACGAACAAGAACTTTCAAGACAACTTGCAAAGTTTTGACAGACAAAAGTTTTTTTTTTTTTGTATTTGTAAATTAAACATCTAGAAAGTGAGATGCACCCAACAGGGTATCAACATGTCATGAAGCAGCAGCAGCTCTGAACAAAACCATCTGTTTAGCACCAATAAAAGTACTGTGCAGAGCAAAATACTGAGAACCAAAAAGCTGATAAAGACATGGAGACTGATTGTCATGAAAATAATTAAACCGTTAAGCAGTCAGATGGATGTAGTGTTCTAAATGCAAGCTAAAAATCTGAAACATTGAGAAAAGTGCTAAGCTGTAAAACAAGTCTTTGTGATCATTTTTTTTTATCCTTCATGAGCTGGGGAGATTAATCCTATGATAAGAGAGATATATTCCTTGCAGTAAGGCTCCTGTTTCACTAACTACAGGAGGAGCCCTCTGGGCCTATTATCATGGCAGTGCATGGGCTGGAAGAGAGCTCTGGATTAAATCAAAAAACATTAACTGCAACCAACCTGGCAGCCGCATCCTGCTGTACATAAAGTACTGACCAAGCCATCCAGCCCCCATCATCCAGACCACTCTGTCTCATCCATCCTCCTGCTCCATTATAGCCAACCATTTTAAGTGATTGCATTTGCAAGAAATTTGCAAACAGCGGCATAACTACGCTTTTATTGCATGGCTAAAGCTTCTAATATTTAAAGGAAAAACACATTTATCTGCCTCACTGCTTGACTGCCACCCACCCACTCCCACTGAGCCAGAATTTACTGCTTCAAAGCCTCTACAGGGGCACAGTGAATATCTGGATTTGATTGAGGGGATCTCTTGTGCATAAGTGAAGGATTAAATGTGATTGACTTTGCATCCTGGGAAAACAATGGCCAGAAATAACCCGGGCTTCAAGGGTCTGCTCTGCCTGCTCTATTAGCCAACAGATTTTAAAGAAATCCTGAACCTGTGTATCTCTTATTATGTCAGAAAGCAACGTTAATCAAAAAAAGGACGATTTTTGCGTAAAAAATATCAACGAGAGAATGGGGTAACTGAAGATACAAAGTAGTGGAACATGCACTGTTTAATGAAATATACGGATAAATGATAGAGCAGATGCTTTCTGATACACACTCATTAATCAAAAAAATAATGCTTTACTGCTGAGCTGCTCATGAATGCTAATGTTTAAAAGAAGTTTAGCAAACTTACTTGACCAGCCAAGCTTGTTCCATAATAAAGTCTCACAGCTGCAGCAGGTTGGATTAACAAATCCTCTGTGGGTCATTTGTAGGAGTCAGAAATTTGATTTCATTCTCTGTGATTGCACAGGTCTCTCAAAAGCAAACAGGCTCATTCTTGTGATTGAAGACATATGGGCTATATCGGGGGCCACCCACAGGTATTTTGAATCACTCAGAGATCTAGCTGACAAGCGAGGGTGTTTGCTCTTTGACCCGTGGCGGCCTGCTGCCGAGCGTCAGTCTTCTTATTGAGTGATGCTTAGAGGAGGCTCTAGCCGCCAACCGTCCCCCACTGACCTCTGGGAAAACGGTCGCAATAAGTAAAAACAGAACAATCCTTTCAGCTCTGCACTTGATTTCATTTTGATGTTTTCATGAAACAAAAACGAATAAATTAGCATGTGTGCTTCTTTTTTCTTTTATTCTAGTCCGTCTAATTTCAACATTATGCTCTTGATATGACACTTTAACACAATTTGTAAAGTGTATGCAAACAATAAGCTTTGATTTTTAACAGTCATTCTCCTGTTTGTCTTTAATTATGACAGGCCTGTCCAACTGCAAGCTGGATGCCCGTGTGCTGCTGAGTCTCCATCAGCCTCCTGCAGACAGAGGGAAAGCAGCCATGCCGAGTGTTCTTCCAGTCTCCTTACTCCTGACTCACACTGTGCCAAGCGTGTGGTGGGTAAACTCAGAGGCCTGCCTTTCACACACACATACTGTATATATATATATATATATATATATATATATATATACACACAAACTTTTGGTAAGTTTGGAAGCCAAGGCTCAGGCAGAAGTGATTCGTGCTCTGCCCAGAGAGGAGAGTATTTTAGGTCAAGCAGTGCTATTTTAGTTTTTTTTCTTTCTTGTAAATCCTTTTCTGTTTTATCTGCAAGCCATAACTTTAACTAACAAATGGCATAGAGCTGGGCTGTCTTTGTGAACTAGGAAATGTAAACGGGAGCAGCAGGGTAAAGAATTGTGCAGATAATCTTATAGTATTCTTGAAAGGTACGCCTGTTTAGGTGTTTGCACTCGTGTATGTGTGAAGTCCCCCCCCCCACCGGCCTTAGGGAACAGAAGCTGAAGTGTCTCTCACAACACGCTGACACGTATAAGGATTCATTCCCCTACTGATGTAGCACAGTAAGCCTAAAGAGACAACATACAATAAGCAGCAAACAAGAGTGGGGCAG